TATAAAAATGAAAAATCTGCATAGATGGATTTCATTTCTCAAAATATGTTTTATCTTAAAAATCCGCAGACTAGATATTTCGGTTTAAAAAATTAATTTTTTCAGTAGTCAATCAAGTATAATTATTCGAATTGCTGCTCGTTCAGTTGCAGTAATTAAAACACTGTGTAATGCGCGACATGGGTGTTTTGACAACATCCACAAAAGCGGAAGTGCGGGATCGTAATAATCCATTGAAAGAGGTAGATATTTATAAAACCGTGTCGTGCCTCTCCTCACTTCCTCCAACATGCGACACTGTTTCATTGTATCAGATAAATTGACACGTTGAACATTAGAATCTCACAATTAGTATTTCAACTGTCACTGTCAGTTCGAGATGAACGATAAAAATTGTTCTTGTCGTGCTCGGTGTGCAGGAAGTTATTCGAAATAAATGATTAATTGAAAATAACAAGTAATAGGTGTTCTCGAGAAATTTCAATTAAAATCAGTGGTCGTAATTCCACAGTTTAAACGCGACGTGAATGCCTCGGACTTTCCAAAACTATTAAGATAGTTTTTTACCAACCATAAGGTGAATGATACTCCGTGAATAGATGACAAATATATTTCTTAGTACTTCAAATTAGCTTTTCCCCTAATTTGAAAGTAGCTTTGAATTTTAAGGTGTATCTAAGAACTACTTTAAACAAGACTCTCCAGAAAAATAAATAAAAATCATCATATTCGCCAAGGCCCAGAGCAAAGACTAGATCAGCTAAATGTTTGCCTTGCCTTCGTACGACGAATATTGTGAGCAATCCTTAGAAAAAACGATTTCCTAAAATATAGTCGCCACATTATTATTCTCTTCATCAAATCTCATAATATATTATATATTCTTGTACTTGAAATACAGAATTTCCTATATTTAATTTATTTGACTAAAAATTTCCTACGTCTATATTTAACTTGAAAATATAAAAAATATAATTAGTGTGCAAGAATTGTCGGTGGGTTTAGTGTTAAATACGATTTGAAAGTCGTGAGGGAGTAAATCGCCGCTTGGAAGTTGATCGGCTTAGTCAGGGGCGTCTTCAAAGAAGGCTTTCGCGTTTTCCTTCACCGACTGAGCCGCGTGTAATTCTCCGCGGCTAGGGGCCACGAGTTTAGTCGACTACCTGTTGAATCAGATTCCCCTCTCGTCCGCGACGTTCCCGTGAGAGGAAGTCGAGGCGTAAATAATTCCCGAAGCCTGCTACGTGAGAACTCGACTGAATTCCACTGGTAAGAGCCGTAGGAACAAGGCGTCGCGTCGCGTCGTTGCGTCGACTCGGCATTTTTGGGTAACTACCTGCCCGCTTTGGAAGGGAGATGTTACATCGTTTGGGCATCCCACGATGTTACGAGGATATCAGAACGCGTAACCGGGTTCACCGTGAAAAGCACCTGTGGATTAAATAAAAGTCCCTCTCTTTTTCTCTTCGTTATTTGAGGACAGAACAAGAAAGTTAACCATTTCTAATTGCTCGACTCGATTAATCTCGGGCTCGTGAATTTGTTATATGATCCAATAAAAAGGAAATTGAATTTGAATCGTGGTTTAATCTGTTTATCAAACGAGCACAATGCATTAAAATCAGTCACCGCGAACGAGCATTAAATCCGCACGATGAGCCGTGCTTCCGGTGTTCCGAACGGTCTGCAGCTAGACGCGCACATACGTACATATGCAGGCGCGTATGCGCTTGTATTAATCTTTTTTTTTCCTCGCGCCGTTTCAAGGTTTCTAGAGTTTCTTGACTTTCCAGCAGCGAGACTGGTCGGCTATGCGCGGTTAGGCTAGCCCGTTTGGTAGAAGGCAGCAGGTTTTGAAACTAGTCGCATGACCGTGTAAAGAGAAGAGGTCTGTCGTCGTCGACTTCATCGTCGGCTTCGTCGTTGTCCGTCGGTGCTGGTGCACACCAACGGAATTATGCGCCAAGGGTGGGGGAGTTCTGAGCCAACAGAGGTAACTGTGTAAGTGACGGGACGGTTTGGATGGGACTCTCGAGGACGTTCACCTTTTTTCGTGACTTCATCGAGGCTGGTACACGCTGGTAAAAGTGACTTCTGCCAACTAGTATCCTATAGGTCGGCGTGTTCTTCTCCCGGCGCACCGTAGTAGACGGAACGCTATGGAAACTTTTAGGCTCGGCCGGACGAACTGTGGAGCCCGTGGAATCCGGTGATTGTCAGGTCGTTCGAGATCTCAGGGTACAAGGGGAGGATCAAAGCTGACGAGACTAGAGATTGAATTTATGGGAGGCATTCACTCAGGCAGTTACGATTTAAGTTTCTTGATATTTTAAAATACTAAAGATCAGACAGGCCTAAAAATACCAAGAATTTCCTTTTTATTTCATAAAACCATTATTGGTAGACACAAAAACAGAAAAGACACCAATTCAATATCTAATAAAAATATAATAAAAAATACATGGCCTCCATGGGCAGTCATTCAGATCTCAGGGTTGGTTTTTCTTAGTTATGGAATGCTAAGTGAAAAGAAATAAATGTGGAAGATAATATTATAAATATACATATATTACTCTGATAAAATTCAATATACATTTTGTGTATTAATACAATTAATACATTACGTATTAATATTACAACCAAGAATATCAAGAAATATCAAGCATTCAAGGCTGCATAAAAAGAATCTGTGTATCAAGGAAAAGGACGACACCATAATTCATGCATTTACATAACGCTGAATATTCGATCGAGTATTCTGCGCGACGAACGTATATCGCGACCCCACAATCAAGTGTGTAACGGCGTAATCGAAACATTTTATTGCATGAGAATGCATAATCTCTCGATGTAACGTGGATTTACGATCCGTGTTGTTCGTTTATCAAACGAGCGGGAATATTGAAACGGGATAATCTGAACACTCGAGTCGAATCGCAAAAAGATTTCAATTTCATGCGCCATAGAATTTGATAATTAAAATTGATACAAGCCAACAATAATTTAAAGGAAGAGTGCAGCAAAGAGTAAACTTTTTAAGGATAGTAAAAAACTTATTGATCTATTTTAGATCGGTTTTTGCCGAGCTTGCTCAGTGACCGTGATTTTTGCAATCCGCTTCTTCCCAGCCGGTGCATTCGAGTTCATCGACGAACTGGCGAACAGAAAGGTCAGTTCTGTTGGATGCCTGGCATAGCTGCACGCCTTGCTGCCTCGTTTCTTGCAAATTCGTGATCGCTTTCCGGTTTCGCAACGGGAAATACCAGTTTTCACGGTTTCATCTCTACCAATCGTTGCCTTAAACTCTTCGTTCCGTAATTTTTTTCATTATTTCCTTATAATTCCCACCTTGAACTTTGGACCTATTTTATCACAAGGAAAGACAGAAATAAATTTTTCAGCCAAGCGTATTAGGAGAAATCATGTATTCAATTAATTATTTCATATTATATCGATTCCCAAACACGAAACGATGAATAATGAAGCATTTTGTACACATGCGTAATCTTATTTTAGAATACTCAATAAATGTTAACGTTCGATATACTAATTATTGGGTTACATAATAGCATTTCGAGGTTTACCGAGTAAATCGTTATTGCATAATTTAGCTAATGAATACTTCGTGGAACAAAATTATCCATTCCCGCTACTTGTGTACGTAAACAAGTTCAAATTTGAAGAATTGAACATTTTGTTTCCTCGTTTGACGATTAATAATATTTATCGAAATGCGACTTCTTGAATGTTTAGGAATTTTATTTTACTCATGAACATTTAGTTATAGCAGTGAAGAAAGTTGTCCAACTACTTCGAATTCAGTGTTATGATAATTCTTGTTGCCTTTTCTTTAACTCAGTCGCAGTGCCGCCACATCAATAACATAATTAATGTACGAGTCGCAACGAGAGTATTGATTGGCTCTAACGCGGATATAGCGATGCCTTTCGAGCAACTATGGACGTGACCCGAAAGTATATCGACTTTTTACGCGAACCAGGACCTTCGATGGTCATCCACGTAACGTGCCATTACAACACGATCGATAGAAGAGGAGCAACCATTTCATTAAACGTGAAAAATAATTTTACAAGAATAGAATCATTCGATTTTCATCTACCCTAATTTTTTCTGTACAATACAATAATATTTCATTTTAATGCCTAAACTATATAGAACTGTATCCTGATATGTGATAAGAATTTAAGGTATCATGTTTTGAGTAAACAAAATTCTATTGTTCTTATCAGAAATTATTTTGTATAGAACCATTATCGATTTTGATTGATCCTAATTTTCACTGTGTAATCATATTTTATCTTAATACTTAAACTAAGTGTATCGTATTATGATTTCATATTATGCGTAAGCGAAATCATTCTTCTCAGAAGTTAATAGTTGTCAACTTTGCACTCAACCCTAATTTTTGCTGTATAACAATATTTTATCTTAATGTCTAAGTTAAGTGTATCTCATTATGATCTCATATTTTGCATTAGAAAAATTCTATAATCCTCAGAAATTTCTAGTCATGAAATAAATATTTAATAATTAATGTGTAAACTTGAAAAATGTATGAAGAAACAGGAACGTGACTTTCTTGTGTCAGAAAGGGGAGAGGCAGGTGAGGGGGGGGGGGGGTCGGTTTACAGCGACCAAGGAAAAATGATTTGTCGCAACGTCGGTTAGCGGAAATTGCCAGTTAGCAACCATAGATTTCTACGGTTTCGCGGAGGCACTGACACAGACGGGCTGCGCCAGCGAAACGACTCTCCGGCGCAGTCGGAGAAAATTGCTGAGCTACGACACCGTTGTCGGCTGTTGCACTTCCCGTATGAATCTGCCGACGAATTAATACCGATGGCGAAACCCTGATCGACGCAACAATTACTTTCTCGAGGGTGTGCCATTGTTCTGTAAATGAACCGTCTGAATACCATTCTCGATTTGTAATTTACGGATTAACAAATATAAAAGAATGTTGCTAAAAATATCAATAATAATGTGAACAATGTGTTGCAATTTATTATTATATACACATATAGTTTTATTTCAGTCTATTGGCCCAGAAATGGAGTTGGTTTACATTTTGCTCTCATCCCTCCATAACTTCTGCACTCCATTCTTTCTCCATTTCCTTCGTCTTCTTATTTCTCCTATTTTACATTTTGTACCTTTGTAACTTTTGTCAATTGTAACCAAAGAATTTATTATTAAATGAAGTAATTCTATTATGAAAAAAATAATAAAAAAATTCATTATTACTACAGATTTTTATAAAACATTTAGGGTACCAATTTAAAGATTATGTTTTAAGTAATAGTTACCTATTATCATTTAAGTATCTTGATTCAGTTGCATGCAACGTTCACACTGTTTGCACATTCAGCTTTCTTATAAATGCATAAAATCCACAGTCTATTCATTACTAAGGAAGTATCCTACTTTCTTTGAACGATATCATCCCGTCTCGTCTGGGAAAACAATAGATAAGGTATGTAGACGAGAGGAAACCCTTATCTCGTGGAGGGTTCAAAGTAAAATATTCGGTGCAGCTTCCGGCGGAGGTGAAACTGGGGACGAGATAAATGGCAGCGAGCGGAGCATAACGGAAAAGCGGACGATACGGGAAAAGGAGAGGAGAAAGGCCAATGAGAGAGAGAGAGAGAGAGAGAGAGAGAGAGAGAGAGAGAGAGAGAGAGAGAGAAACGGTCGATTGAGGGAGAAAAGGAAGAGTGATGTCGCGACCTTGGTACCGGAGTTCCGCATTGCTGAGGCGCGCAACAGATACCGCGAATCCAATCGCGGCTCGTGTCAGTCCGCTACCAGCGACCCGTTCAGTCGCTTTAAATATTTCACTGTACTTTTGAGGGAGAACATAAATCGTACGATTCTCCATTCTCAGACGGCAACTTTCTATGGGGCAAACTCTTTTTGCTTATCAGTTTTTAAACGTGTCGCGATATTTGGTCCCAGGTTGTTGGTCGCTAATTATCTAGGACGGAATAATTGCCTCGGTTCTGGCTTTGTTCACGTCCGTCAGGGAAACGACCCATAACGAGAGCCCGGAGAAAACCCGCGACGAGACTAAAATAGCTGATGAAGCCACGGAAGAAGGAGCTTGAATAGAATTACTTACACCGTGGTCACGATTGTTCGAGTGCTGTTCGGTCGAACAGGTTCTGCCGGTTAAATCGCCTTTTAAACGGATATTTCTGTTTACCGTATATACCGGGTGTCCCCGGAGTCGTGGAGGAAACGAATAGACGGGACGGTGCATCTGATTTTAAAACACCGTGAACGGGGTTAGTCACCTGAAATAATAGTTCATTGTATCGACTTTCGAATGGAGGCTGAGAATATCTTTCCACTTGCAGCCCGTGTAACGCAATCGCGTGTAACGGTATCTGCTCAAAAAGTATCCAGACTTTCGCAACCGGTCTTAATAATAGAAGTTCAGCGCGCAGCCAGGGGTTATTGAATTTCATGTGAAACCACTATTAGTCTGGAACAATTGTTTTCGATTCCTATTACGATTTACCTTATACATGGAAATAATTTACAAAGTAGGTTCGAGTGTAGTCTCCGTGAAAGAAGTTATAGGCAACGTTTAAGAAATCTTAACTAAGAGAACCTGATCGAACCTTGAGTTGCAACCTTGCTTCTAACTTTCTCGTTGCTCAATCATGCTATTTCCTAATGAAGAATCAAGAATCTTATCCAGTTTCATCAAACCTCTAAGTAAAACTCCTCGTAAGAAACCTTAAGGTTGTTCGAACTATAATGTCTGCAAAATATATTTTTAATATAGTGAATTCTGTCATTTTCCCATGCAGATTAACAGATATATTTTAACATTCACGTTAACAGATATATTTTAATTAGAAGACTATAAGATAATTATTCAGAGATAATTATTCAGTTCTATTAAAATTCTGAACTCATGTGACAACAATAATATTATTATAAAATTAAATTATAATTTTTCATACAAACTCCATAAGAACACAGGTTAATTTCATATTGATGATTTCACTCAGAAATTCAGCTCCTCAATTTCATTCAGGCTTTGAATATGAGTTCAATATGATAATAACTAGGCTGCAGATTTTATGCAAAAAGAAAGTGATATGTACAAGAAATATGGAAAGCTGATTCAACGACGTACAAAATATAAAAAGAGAAATGCATGTTATGATATTTAAAATATAAACGAAATTCCTATTTATATTCCATTTTCAACATCGGCATTACAAATAGTTTATTTATTATTATTTGCAAAATTCCAAAGAGATGAATTTTAACTTACAATCTGAACAACCTGAAGATTCGTACCAACGAAAGAATGTTCCTTCGACAAAAGTGAATACGAATAAAAGAAATGAGCTCCCTCGTTGACCTTGACTCTCAGTTCCGTGTTACCGAAGGGCCTCGACAGAAGGGCCGAAGAATCGTTGGTCTCGACGAGCTCGTAAGAAGGGCGAGGAGACTCAGCCTTCAACTTGACCGGCTCTCGACACGCGCCCTTCTCTTTGAGCACCGTCGAGCACAATTTTAGAATCACTCGTGGGGTCCTTGACACCTCCGGCAAGAGACAACTGGCAGAGCCATTGACAACCTCGAACGTTGATCCCCAGTCCATTGATTTGCGTCTCTCTGCTCCGTATGCGTGTGTACATTTCAACCACAAGAGAGAGCGCGAGAGATGAGAGACCTTTCTAATTTGACTAGAGAGTCAAGTGTTTCTGATCTGTAGAAGTATTAGCCTACATTCGTCCTAACATTTAAATATTAATTAATGACGTCCAAGCTGACAAAATTGCATGCTCGATGGTTGCATAATTCTCTGATTGAGATGACGTTTTTAGGATTACTTTAGAGAATCTGACCTATTTTCCAAAGGCTGATTTAATTCGGGCCAAGTTTAAAAATGTTCTGACCAATTACATCTATTATCCTTGGATCAGGATCGAACTGCGCTAAATTGAGCACCTATTATGTCGTAGTAATCTAATCAGAATTATTCAGTCGTTTGTTCCGAGAATATCCTGCACTTTGTCCCGATGAATCACCTATGTTATTGAATACAAATTTTATTTATATTTCTCAATACATGGACAATAAAGGCTAATGACTAATGGCTGTACAATTTGAAACAAATAATTAATAATTGCACAATTTGAAGCCAGTAGTTTACTTCTGAAGATCCTCACAATTGCATTCATCATTTCATTTTGTCGTATTGGAAAATAATTAACGAGTAATCAGGAATTATGTTTTCAATGTGGCTTTGCAGGGTCTCAGTCAGGATGTTTTGACCATGAAAGAAGAGGAATGGAGCAACGGGTTGAGCGTGCGAGACAAATCGTCGATTGGAGTGGTGCTGAGGGATCGTTTGATGACGGACGCCGCTCTTGGAGGTCCGCGACCGATCAAGTCCGAGCACAATTACAGTCTTTTGGCGTCGAGTCCGCCGCCCAGTCCGGCGACACCCGGTGCAAACCCCCACACACCAAATTCCGGATCTTGTGCCGATAGAGTCGGCGCTTCCGCCGTTAGTTCCTCCATTAATTCCACCAACCTGGACCACCACAAATCGCTGGACATTCGAAGTAGAATAGATGGTAAGGGAGCGTTTACCAACACAGAAAATCGTTAATCCATTTGTATAAAATTAACACAACATTTCATATAATAATTGTTCCAAGCTTGATACAATTCTTCGTATAACAATAATTAATACACTGTTTCATATGATGTGAATATGAATTAAACTGAAGCGATAGGAACCTCGCGATGTCTGGTTGCCTACTGTTGGAAGGCCACTGTATGTATCTCTATTATTACGATACACAAATGGCGACACAAGTGTATTTTGAAACACCGGCAATAAATATTTTCTTCACCTTTCCCACACTCGAGCTTCGTCTTATCTAACGTCATTACACGGCGTCATAGTTCGTAGAGTGACCCTAATACGCTATACCACTTTGTTCGTCGAAGTTACAGCCTTTAGAAAACGGTATAACATTACAGGATTAACGGAAGCCCGATAACGAGACTGATTAGAGGGAAGTCTAAGCGAGTATCGGAAACGTTTTGAAAATTATTATTATCCGGCTTGATTTATTATACTTAAAACAATAGCTGTTTTTATATAAAGCGACTGGATTTGTTTGTTATCGCATATCTCAATTTTATCTCATTTTTAATTTTATCTTCGTCTCTTATTAAGTATTAACGTCGAATTACTGCGTCAATTTTGATCAAATGTTACTCGAGAAACAATGATGGAGGGAATAATTTTATTTTCAGACATGGAGGAGGAGTGCTTCCCGGTGATCTCGATGAACACCGCGTCGGGACGCGACGAACTGTCCTCGTCGTCGTCCACGTCGTCTACCTCAACAATAATCCTAAGGAGAAGCAACAACCTAGTACCTGAAGCTGTGGAGTGCGTCGAGATCAAAGGAGAACCGCTCAGTGCGCCCAACAGCCCTTCCGAGCCTTGTCAGACGACGATAGTCGACGACAAGAACACGATAACTATGGTGTTCCCTCAAGGACTTCACTTTTCGAAGAACCACCTGTCGCAGACCAGCGACAGTGAGGAGGATGACGAAGAATATTATCAGGTACGAGCAATTCATTTTTCTAATTCGTCGGCTTGCAAAAGTTTATCGGAGCATCTTAAGGATGTATTGGCTATACAATCAATCCCAAAAGTTTATATACCTTAGAAAAACGCATTTCCTATAATTAAAAAGAAATCAGACGTCGGAAGAACAATGCTAATAATAAATAGCTACGTGCTAACAAGTATAGAAGGAAATATCCAATTAATTATTGACGCTGGCTTTTTATACACAAGTTGTAGGCACTGACATCCTCTACAAAGAAAGATTCTATGCATTTTTCTTCTAAATCCAATACTTAACGAGTTACGTATGATTATTTGGCATTTTATTGACATTGACAAAATCCGACCGTCGATCCACGGTCGAAACAGCCAACTTTTGGTAAAAAATTTCGTTTTCCTCAATAACTCTTAAATTGTTGGAGATACGGAAAAATTGCAGAGAACCTTTTTTGTAGAGAACGACGAGATCTACAATTTCAGTTTAAAAACTTTTCATTTGCGTCAATAGTTTACGAGTTATTGACGAAAAACGAAAAAACAGTTTTTTGCAAATTACTCATAAACCATTGACGCTAGCCAAGAATTTTTATACAGAAATTGTAGATCTCGTCGTCCTCTACAAGAA